GAAACGGTTTTCCCCCGAATTTTTTCCGGGCCTTCACATCTCTAGTCTCGAGCAATGCCTCCCTCGAAGCTGTGGAGTCTTGTGAGCAAAAACTCTGCTTTGTGAGCTACTGGCTTTAAAGTTGCGAGCGAGCAATTTGGCTGCTGCATGCATTAGTTTGCTCTCTGGAGCCCTCCCTTCCTGAGCGAAGACAAAGAGGTGTGAGCCGGAGGCTAAAAAACTAGCTCAGACGGAACACTGCGGGGGGGGGAGGGGGACAGTCTCTTTGCACTCCTTCTTCCCTTCGATGTCCTTCGGGACTTTTATTCAGCAAAAGCAGCCCCGCCCTTTCCTCTTAGGAGAGTCGAGGCGGAGCCGGAAGTGATCCCTTCGGTCACCGCTGGCGTTTTCGTAACTCTAGGACCGGAGGCGTTGTGTCCCCGCCTACTAAACGGGTGCCGCGGAGGGACATTCCAGGCAGCGTCCCGCTCCGCAGCCCACTCGTCGCCCGGCATGGAGCGCTGCGGAGGAGACGGGGCCTGGAGCGCGCCTCGGGGGAGAAGGAAGCGGCGGGAGCGGAGGAGGAAGGGCCGGGACGGGGCCTCGGAGGAGCAGGAGGAGGAGGAGCGGCAGAGGCGGCGCCTGCAGGAGGCCCGGTGAGGGGCCCGGTGGAGCTTCCTTGGCCAGGAGCAGTCCTCCCTTTTAGAGGTTTAAAGGAGGCCGGGAAGGAAGACCGAGGGGCGCCGGTCTGGCTCTGCTGGGTCGAGCCCCCGAGGCAGGGTGTGTGCGGTGAGACGGCTCAGCTGCCTTGAGAAGAGCCCTGCTGGCTCTTACAGGTAGACCGACCCTGGACATGCAGGTTTCACATCGCCCCCAGGAAAAGAGCTCTGCTGGATGGGGACCGGGGGCAGCGGGCAGCCTGCTGTCAGCAGAGGTCAGCCAGATATCTGCCTGGAGACCAGAGGCCTTTTTCCTGCGGGTCAGACCCCCCCAGTCCAGTTACACTCTTTAGGCAGTGAAAGTTTATTGAGTTGTATGCAAGATCCAGAAAGTCACTGTGTTGGAACTGAAGACTTTTGGCGGGTACAAGCTGCTGATAGGAAATTCGAGCAGGTCCCACCCATCCCCCCAAGCATCATCAGATTGCAGCTGACTTAATAGCGACCCCCCTCAAGGGGTTTTCAAGGCCAGAGACGTTCAGAGGTGGTTTACCATTGCCTGCCTCTGCGTCATGATGACCCTGGACTTCCTCAGTGGTCTCCCATCCAAGGACTAACCAGAGCCGACTCTGCTTGGCTTCCCAGATCTGATGAGATTAAGCTGGATTGAGCCATGGGCAATCCCCAGTGCTAGCAAGGGCTTACGTTTTTCATCTTTGTAACGTGAGCCTGTTTGTGTCTCAAACAGAGCCAGTCTGGTGTAGGGGTTAAGTGCGTAGACTCTAATCTGGGAGAACCGGGTTTGATTCCCCACTCCTCCACTTGCACCTGCTGATGTGACCTTGGGTCAGTCACAAGCTCTGGCACAGCTGTCCTTGAAAAAGAGCAGTTTCTGTCAGAGCTCTCTCAGCCCCACCCACCTCACAGGGTGTCTGTTGTGGGGAGGGGAAGGGAAAGGAGTTTGTAAGCCACTCTGAGACTCCGAGTGAAGGGCGGGATATAAATCCAATCTCCTCTTCTTCTTCACATTACCAGCAATCCATGCAGCAACCCTGCAAAGTAGACCACCAGTAATAATAACTTGATATCGCAAACTAGAAGCTGTGGAACGGTCACTTCATGTGTCTGTGGCAAAGGCAAGCGTGGAACAGAGAGGGCCGCCTGAATCCCAGCTCAGTCCCTTGGCTGCTTTTTCATGCTTGCTCTTTTAACCACCCTGCTGGATTTTGTGAGCCTTGCCTGTGAGCTAAATGCAGGCCAGGGGAGGCCCCATTGCTAGAACAGCGCTTATAGCTAGAACGAGAGGTGCTGGGGCTCCAGCCCACTCGATGGCCTCATGGCATGGGGATGGAGCTCAGGGTGATCTTCTCTTATGCCTTGGTTGAACACTGGCCTCTGTAATGTGGGGGGACCTCAGCCCTGGTTCATATCCCCCATCCAGAGGCACAGGGAGGGCAAAAAACCCGTAACCCAATAAAACTGAATCAAGAACCGAGAAGAAAGAAACCTAGTAGAGCGCTAATAGTTAAAACCTCATATATACTTACCATAAGTAAAAATACATATATTTATTTTGTGCAGAGTTAAAAATCATATAAGGGCCCAATGAAAGCCTCGTTAAAAAGTACAAGTGACATGCACACGAGGACCAATTATTGTGACCTAACACATTTCAGCCCAATCAGGCCTTCTTCAGATGTCAGCCAATCTGAGACACAAACAGGCTCATGTTACAAAGAACCCGCAAAGAATATGTCAGTACTGGACCAAAGAAGGAATGCTGTTGGGGAAAGAAGAGAATAGTGAGTTTAAGAATTCCTAAAATGTAATGTCATGAATTATACTGATAATATGGTTCAAAACCCATATATTACCTACTTCCAGAGCGAGATTAATAGACACATGACCAGAATGTTGTCGAAGGCATTCACAGCTGGAGTTCATTCGCTGTTGTAGATTTTCCGGGTTGTATGGTTGTGGTCGTGGCATTGTACAGTGCCAAGACCATGGCCATACAACCCAGAAAATCTACAACAGCTAATATGACCAGAATGTCTATGAGGCCTCTTAGGAATAAGTCATGTGTCCAGTGCATATGCACAGTTGGTAAAAATGTTAGTGTCGTGTATCTTAAAAATATGTAAGGAAATAATGTCTAGTAAGAGAATATATTGGCCCTCTACTAGGTTTCTTTCTTACCTTTTCGGTTCTTGATTCTTCCCCCACCCCCCACAAAGAGTCCCCCACTAGAGTTACTTTTTCTCCCCTCCCTCCCTCTCTTTCTCGCAGGGCCGACCTGCTGGACTCCGAGTTCTGGAATTCAAGTCTGAGTAAGTCCTGGCCGCCTCTCAAAGTCTATTTTCACCCTCTTGAGAAATTCTTGAGGCTTTCTGCATGGCTAAAAGGAGGGGGCAGGCAGCTGCCCAGCTTGGATGAAGTGTTGTCAGGCCTGCTTGTCCCCCTGCTCTAGAAATCCTCTTAAGGTCCGTGCGAGAAGTCCTGGCCCGCGGGAGAGAGGTGCCCGTGCCCACCGGGGAAGATGCCCTCTTGGCCTTGGAGGAGCTGCAGCTGTGCCCCCCCGCCCTTCCGCCCGGACGAGCGCACCTGCGGTGTGTGTGTTACGGCCTGGGCAACTTCTCTTCTTGCTCTAAGGCCCGCTTCCAGCTGGCCTTCTTGCTGCTGCTGCTGAAGGATGGGTGGCGTCCCCGCCCCCCCCCCCCCCGCTTAGTAGGGCTCAGCCAGCCAACCCGGAGCCCCCCCCAACAGCTGCCTCTGCCTCCCTCCCTGGCAGATTCCTGAGGAGCTGTGTTGCATCTTTGATCCTGCTTTCTCCACGTTGGAAAGGGAGGTCCTCAGCGGCCTCGGTTTCTCTGTCCTCTCGCGGAATGAGGTGAGTGCCATCTCTGCCCGGGGAAGGTGCCCGGGACACCCAGCGGCCCTCAGTGGGGCCAGGGCCCGCGAAGGGAGAGGTGCTGCTGGGTGCAAGGGGGCTGGCTGGCCGGGAGGGGCTGGCTGGAGCCCCTGGCCTGGTGAGACCTTGCTTGCAGGAGGGGAAGCGCCCCGCCGAGGAGCCCACCCTCTTCTACATGGTCCACTGTGGGAAAGCCCTCTACAACAACCTCCTGTGGAGCAACTGGTCAGCGGAGGCCTTGTCCCAAATGGTCGTCGTGGGCAACAGTTTCAAGGGGATTGAAGAAAGGTAACACTCCCCCACACATACACACACAAACCCTGCTCATTCTTCCCTCGTGTCCAGAGAACTTGGGGGTTGTGGTCAGTGTTCCCTCTCAGCTGAGTTAGCGTGAGCCGGCTCAGTTTTTTAGCCTCTGGCTCAAGCGTTTTTGTCTCAGCTCAGGAAGGAGGGCTCTAGAGCAAACTAATTTATGCAGTAGCCAAATCGCTTGCTCACAACTTCAATGCCAGCAGCTCACAAAGTACTAGAATGTTTGCTCACAAGACTCCACCGCTTAGAAGGAGCATTGGTTGTGGGGAGGGGGGGCAGAGGGGCTTGAGCTGATGGGATGGGAGGAGCCTCTCTGGCTAGCCCCTCACGCCTCCTGCCCCTTTGGCTTCCAGGGTCCCGACCAGGATATTCCAAACGGATTACGCTTACATCGCCAAGGTAGGGTGCATGCATATTGGAGGTGGGAGGTGACTGCTCTTCAGGAGGAGCCGTGGAGTCTCCAGCTGCCAGTTTGCGGGGGGGGGGGCACCCCAATACATTCGACTGTGTTCTGAGCAGCTGCTGGGCGTAGCAGACCAAAGCAGGACACCCGGCCAGTGAGCCGGCGTCCCCTTTCTGTGCCGATTTGCTCACAGCCAGTCTAGTGGAGGGGAAACGATGGGCACTCGTGCAGCTCAGTGGCCAGTCAGGGGTCAAGTTGTGCAGCCCTCTGCCACAGAGGCAGTCCCAGAACTGCTGCAGCCTCTCAGGATGAATCTTTCTCAGGAATAAGGATTTTCTTGAGTAATATCTGATGAATTCTGAGGACGCAGATGGAACAAGAAGGGGTTAAGATGGGTCAGGAAAGGGGGGGGGTGTTAAAATGTGTTTGGGAGCTTCCAAATGTTGACCTCTGCAAGAACAGCCTAGTTATTCGGACTTCTTGCTGGTAGCTGCAACCCCCCCCCCCCCCCACGATTCTCACGCGGACTCTCTCCCTGTGCCACCCACGGGTAGATTCTAACAGCCTCTAAGGAAGAAGCCCTCCCTCCCCACACCCGGTATCTGGATGTGTTCAACGACACGGCGGTCCACCGCTTCCCTTGGCACAAACTGAGGGAGGTGCCCCAAGAGACTTGGGACTTCCGGGAGGAGCCTGTGTACCGTTCGGAGGACCAGCTAGAGATCATCAGAAACAGTGACGTGACTTAGCTTCGGAGAAATTGGACAGGAGGCAGAGTTGACTGAAAGGCTGTACTTAGCTTCTGGCTTTGTACCAAGCTGAATCTACCAGCTCCGGAAGCAGAGGGCCAACCGTGCCATGGGATCCTCGGGCAGAGCTCAGTAGAGGCCCGGGGCATCAGGCGGACGCATCAGCAAGCAGCAGAACCAAACCAGGGAGGAGGAGGAGGGGGACAGGAGGGTTTGACGTCTCTGGGATCGCCTTGAGTCCTGCGAGGGACCCGGCCCAGCTGGGATCTCGTCTCCTCTCCGGCTCACGTGCTGCTTGCGGTCTGGTTTGGCTTAAAGGCTGCTGCATCAGCCAGAGAAAGAGGCAGCTGTTCTGGGATACGAAACCTCAGCACAAATTGTGTATGTTTATTTTTAAAATGGTTTTAAACTATGACCTTTTGTGTCATTTTATTCTTTCCAGATGGGGAATGAGATTTTGTATTTGCTGGGACACCTTTGGTGCCGGTGCCAAGGGTGAAGAGCCGGGGGGGGGGGTTAATCTGGGACTTCCTCCCTTCCTATGGAGGTCCAGGTTGCCACAGTTGCTCAGTCAGCCTTTTATCATCTTTGGCTGGTCAAGCAACTAGTTCCCTATCGCACTTCCCAGGACCTGGCTACAGTGACCCAGGCAATGGTCACTTCCAGACTGGATTACTGTTAACTTGCTCTGTGTGGGGCTGCCCTTGAACTTGACCTGGAAGCTGCAGCTGGTGCAGAACACGATGGCATGGGTGCTGATGGTGCTCTGCCAGCCGCACAGGCTGCCTACAGAGTACCGGATCCAGTTCAAGGTGTCAATGCGGACTTTCAAAGCCCTCTGCGGCCAGGGACCTGCGTATCTCCGGGACCGTCTCTCCCCATATGTGCCCTGTAGAGCCTTGCGCTCAGTCGACCAGCAACTTCTGCTTGTCCCTGGCCCAAAGGATGTCCGACTAGCCTCAGCCTGGTGGAACTACCTACCAATTGAGATCAGGGCCCTGCAGGATCTACTGCAATTCCGCCGGGCTTTTCGTTGAGGCGGTGGGCGTCCAAATTCTTCCATCTCTCAGCCTCCCCTACCGGTAGCCCTGGCTTTCTGTCCAGCGGCCAGCATCATTGGCACTGCTCAGAAGTACATCACAGTGCTGCTGCCAAGGCAATGTCTTATGCTGGTCTTATTGTCCTCTTAACTTTGTAATATTCTGTTGTTTCATTGTCACGTCTTATGTGACCTGTAACCCACTCTGAGGGCGGGATGTAAATGGAATTAAATAGATAAATATTTCCGTCGTCTGGCTCATATACCGCTGCCGTGCACCTGGCCAGAAGTACAGGGGAGCAGCTGCAGTGCCGAACAGATGTTTCCGCGGGCCAGAATCGGGACCAGGCTCTCCACTGACACCCAGACAGAGGAAGCCCCGGGGTCCAGAGCAGAACTGCCTTGGTGCAGGGGAAGGGACAAAGGCGTCACTGACGTGATGTGGCCTCTACCAGATCAGAAGCAGCATAACAGCCACAGACTCCTGTCTGGGCCCAGGTGCAAGTAAGCATTTGAGAATGGCAGGAATGTCTGAACCCAAACAAGGATACCGTTCAAATATGGGGTATGTTGGTTTATTTACAAAAACATTTATATCGAGCCTTTTCCTGTGGTGTAAAGTGGCTCAGATCCAACAGTGTCCTGGATGAGAAAATAGCAGTCACTTATTTTGGTGTTCTCAGATAAGACTCAAAGTACTAAAACTGTATGAACACAGCACTGAGATGTTTCTGGAAAAATACATGAATGCAGATAATGGTACAGTGGCTAATGTAAGATAAGGAGAGTACGCGCACTTCCCTAACTAGTTAAGTGGGGCAGCTAGAAGATGATTTTGAACACCTGTAAATCCGGAAGTCTGAACTGACACAGAGCATCTTCATTGAAGCAGCTCCTGGCCACGGGGAACCGGTTTGCATTCGGCAAGAAATAATGCACAGCCTCAAATAATCACTCTTAGATGATAAAAGAATCAGTGGATGAGTCTGTCATGTTCTTTAAAGCCTGCCAGTGTTAAAAGTGTAGAAAACTGTTTTGATAAACCGGAGGCAAGATTCTCCTGTAACGTTTTCACTTGTGTGCGATACCAAAAACAAACCACACACGTTACGGGGTGCCCACACCTCAGGCTCCATAAGTGCACTGGGCCTCGCCACGGGAGCATCTGCTCCCTGCCCGTGGGCCCTGAGACCCCTGCCAGAACTCCTACAAGCACAGCCTCACAGGCCCAGCCTCCTGCCCCTCGCCCTGTTCTGCTGGGGGCTCACCAAATGCATCCCCGTTTCTTCCAGGAAGAATGGCTTCTGAAGGGCGGAAGGCAGCTTCTTCCAGCAGAAGAGCTGACTTCTACTTCAGGCCCGTGAATGAGTGGACTGGACACCCACTAACACAAAATAAGATAAATTTTTATGGACACAGCGAAGCCCCTTCAAGGGCCTAGCTGTGCTTGTCTGAAGCCCTTCGGGGCCGCTGCAGCGCAGAACGTTTCTGGCAAACCAGGATGGCAGCACAGCCCCCTCGAGGCGTCCCGGACCAGTCCTCCCCACTGGCAGAGTGGGCCCGGCCCCTCACTCTCACTTCGTCATGTCAATGAGGCTCTGGAGGGAGGTGGGGACCCAGGTCTTCTCCCCCTGCACAAAGACCACCCCCCGGTCGATGTAGATGACGGTGCGCCCAAAGGTGTACAGCTGCTTCCCTTCGTGCCGCTTCCCAATGACTGGCATGAAGACGATGTTGTGCTCCTCGGCCTTGGTCTGGATCAGGTCCTTGAAGTTCATGGGCACAGAGCCGGCAGCCATGCCGATCCCCCGCTGGGCCATGTTCTCGGCTTCCCGGCGCTCCTGCATGGCCTCGTACTGGAAGTCCTTCCGGCGCTCCGTGTGGGTCAGGTAAGCAATGTTCTCTCGCGCACCAGGCTGCATGTAGCCCCCTAGGCAAGGAAAGAGAGAAAGCAGTGAAAAGGCCAGCATACCATGGTGGATGGGGGACGGCGACACTGCTCAGCCTCTCCTCTGTGGGCGGGAGACAGCGGGACCCTGAAGCTCAGGGGTGAGGTGGGGTGGGGAGCAAGCCACCTCTTGCAACTAGGGATGTGCAAAAAAAAAAAAAAAAACCCGGTTTTTTTCAGGTTTGGGTAAATCAGACCCGAAAAATATCGGTAAATGCTGATTTTCACAGTAAAATAATAGTAAGGTATTCGGATTGGGGCTATATTCGGTATTCCCGAATATATTCGGGTCTGATTCACACCACCCGAGGGAAATGACTTCTTTCCCTCTGGTAGACCCTACAGATTTCCCTGTCAATTTCACTCCCCGCCAGTCAGGCTACGGGGCACCTGGAGAAGATTGGGAAGGGAAGCAGGCATGTTTACAATGCCTTTCTTTCCCTCCCCAACATAGGGGAGTGAAAGAGAGGCATTTAAACCCAACAGCTGACTGGCGGCTGAGCTGGCTGTTAGGTTTAATGAGAACCTCTTGTATACTAAAATGAACCCGAAAAAAGCCAGATAATTACGGCTTTTTCTCAGCTATACAGGTAGCCAAATACAGAACTATGATCTGTATTCGTCTTATGTGCACACCCCTACTTGCAACTGGACTGGCTTCTGGGAGGGCTCTTTGGGAGCAGCCTCTCTCTTCCCTTCAGCTTTTGAGCAAGAAAATAAGAGAACCTCACACACAAATATAACCAGGACTAGCTGCTGGGGAAAAGCATCTGTCGACAACTCAGATGGATGAGATTCAGGTGAAGAAGAAAGCCTCTCTTTCCTCCATTGCCGCTTTAGACACTTACAAACGACATTCAGCCACCCCTTAGCTCAGGACTCAGAGCCAGCTAGATTCCACAGTGGAGCAGTAAGTGAGGAAACCCATAGTAATACGATGATGATGAACAGGAAATAATACTGTGAAGCAGGCACCTCAAGAGTTACACAAATCCTCTGTAAAAGTCTGAAAGTTGTTTGTATTCAATAGAGACTTATTAAATTTTTATACATTGCATCTGTCTTCATTTCTCATAATTACACGCTCACCAGGACGTTATCTGCTTACATAGCCACAAGGCATATACAATCAATACAAGAAGAACAGTCCTAACTTCACAGATCTATTATGCAGTCCAAGAATCAAAATGATAATATTATTCTTGAATACAGTCCAGATCCACTGAAAAAGGTTTACCGGCATCAGAAGTATGGAGCCTAATTGTCCCATATTAAAACTACATGATTGGTGCCTTGAACAAAAATTTGATAAGTCAAGCGGTTTTAGTTGACATGAGACAGCGGCAGGCTCTTGTGCTCTGAGGAGGAGGAGGATTACCTGATGCAGAAAAACGAAAATATGAACTACACTCCGGAAATCAGGTTGTTATCAAGAGTGTTTTGTCTCTTCAGTGGATTTGGACTGTATTAAAGAATAATCTTATCGTTTTGATTCTTGGACTGCATAATAGATCTGTGAAGTTAGGACTGTTCTTCTTGTATCAACTGCATAAGCCTTGTGGCTACGTAAGCAGATGACTTCCCGGTGAGCATATAATTATGAGAAATGAAGACAACTGCAATGTACAAAAACAGAATCCTACAGTGGAGGCATTTGGGCAAGAGCTAATAACCAACTCACGCACCCACACTGGAAGAGACGGCTCTGTTCATGACGTCCAGGGCTTCGTTGAATTTCTCCTTGACGGAGGGGTGGGCCAACACCTGGTCCGAGAACATAGACTTCCACCCCAGGTACCACTTGGTGATCTCTTCGTAATTAGGGTTGTTACTTAGCCAGGAGCACAGAACCTGGAAGAGGGAAAGGCTTGGTGGCAGGAGGAGACCGAAAGTGCAAACCCACCATGCCTGTGCTGAGCAAGAGAGCCCGAAGCAGAGCTCGGGAGGCGCCACCTGCCCGACTGACACCTGCCAGCTCCAGGAGTGGCCGACAGTGGTCGAGTGGCCGACTCCTCACAAGGCAGGGAGGAGAATTCTGCGGGGCAGCGCAGCAGGCCAGAGGAGCCGCGCACGTGAGACGTGAGCCAAGCCGGCCACCTGATGGGGGGAGCCGAGGGTCCTTCTGGACACGCGCTGAGCCAACCCCCATCCCTGCATCTCCTCCCAGCAGCCTCAGGGGCTCAGGGAGGGAGGGAGTCACACACCTGCAGCCACTTGGGAAAGAAGTGCTTCTCCAGCAGCCCCACCAGGCTGGAGGCAGAGATCATGCCTTCCCAGTCCAGCACCCAGAAAAAGGCATCCATGTGCTGCTGGTGAGGGTTGATGAGCAGCTCGTTCAGGCACAGACCTGCGGGAGGAAGGAAGGAAGACACCTGAAGCCGCCTCCACAGCAAAGCACCAAGCCCCCCCCCCCCTATGTTCTGTGCCTCCAAGAATTTCCTGCAGGCGAGTGTGGGAGAGAGCGCATGGTGCTAGGCATCATGGGAAGGCTCTGCTGGTTTTCCCAGCCTCCTTTTCACAGGACTGCTGGCTCTCTCTGCCAAGGACTCAGAAAGCACAGCAGAGGCAGGCAAGGAGAAGAAGAAGAGATTGGATTTACGCTGACCGCCCTTCACTCGAAGTCTCAGAGCGGCTTACCGTCCCCTTTCCCTTCCCCTCCCCACAACAGGCACCCTGTGAGGCAGGTGGGGCTGAGAGAGCTATGACAGAAACTGCTCTTTTTCAAGGACAGCTCTTATCAGAACTACGCCTTGCCCAAGGTCATCCCGCAGGTGCAAGGGGAGGAGGAGTGGGGGAATCAAGGCTGGTCCTCCCAGATTAGAGTCCGCGCACTTAACCACAACACCAAGTGAATCTTTAGTTCCCACCTCCTCCTCATGGACACAGTTCCCCCACCCCCTTCCGACCCAGTGTTCTGGGCAAGCGTTTCCTCCTAAGGAACCAAGCGCCGATCCCAAGGCAGCAACCCAAGTCTTTCCGTGCTGCCCTCCCCCCTCCCCCGCCAGCAACTGAGACGGAGAGAGAGAAAGGAGGCAGAAGTGCCAGAGGTGGCCCAGCCCGGGTCAGACCGGTCCCAGGCAAGTTGCCAAGAGGGCGGGGACGACAGCTCAGCAACGGCTCCCAGGCACGGAGGCCTCCCTTCCTTCCAAATGAGTAGATCGGCAAATGGGGAGTGGCTCACTTATTGCAAGCCCCCAGCTGGACTCCCGTAGTGGGCAGGCAGGAGGCATTCCCTAAGGCCTTTCTAGTCTTTCAGGCTCCCCCCCCCGGGGGGGCACGAGGGCACACACACAAATCCCCCCCCCCCGCTCCAGACGCAGGCCAGAGGCCCGCCCCCTTACCCAGCTTCGGCACGATGTTCTTGATCATGAAAGCCTCCCAGGACCCCGGGGTGAAGACCTCCTTCCAGGGCTGGAGGATCAGCTTGGCGGAGGAGTCGCTGGGGTGCCACTTCTGGAGGGCGCTGGCCAGCTTGTTGCGGATGGGCGAGTAGAGCGGCTCGAGGCGGGCATGCATGAGGGGCAGCCAGGGGTGGATCCACGAGTGGATGGGAACCGTGTCCGTGAGAGGGTTCCAGTTCTCCACCTTGCGGAAGTCCTGAAGAACTTGGGGGGGGGGGGGAGCTTCCAGAAGCGTGGCCACAACCCTTTCGTCTACACTGAGCAGCGGGTCAGGCATCGCGGAGAGTAACAGGCCAGATTCACCCCCCCCCCCCCCCCCCCGGCACCCCATGAGCCTTCCCCAGCAGAGAGCAACCTGGCGCAGCGTGAACTGAGGCCCCTTTCTACCTCCTTCTGCAACTTGGGGAAAATCAGCTGGTCGAGGATGTTGTCCAGGATCCAGAGGGGGATGATGTGCCCCCAGCTGTCCAGGAAGTCCACCATCGGGACGCAGTTCCGGGGCTGCCACTGTCCTACGATGTTCCGGACATACGGCATCCACGTCTCCCACATCAGCCTGAGCAAAAGGAAACCTCACAGTGAGTGCTGCAGCGTGGGGCCAGGGCCACGCAAGAGAACTCTAACCAAGCAGGGGCTTTCGCAACTGCTTTCTTCTTGGCTCTTCACCAAGACCCCCTTTCCCCATCTCCTCGCCAGGTCAGAGGGCCAGATTCTGACCCTGTCAGGCAGGGGAGGTGACGGTGTACCCTGCCCCAGGGGCCATGCTGGGTTGGGTGTCTCAGCTCCGAATAACCCAAACAACAAAGCAGAAAGCTGTAAAGAAGCGCTACACATTCCAAGTGAAGCAATGTAATTGTAACAATAGTTATAGCATTCATAGAGTTACAAATAAAGTGCAAAAGGGGTCCGTAGTATAATCGTGATGGTTGTTGACAAAGTTTTCCAGAATATTTATTTGTTTCGTGAAGACGTCATCCGAACGAGGAACATAAATTACAAAAGTGTGTCTTCTATCTTTTCTCCATCATTGAATGCAAGTGTAACTTGCTGCGTATAGAATAATTCCTGATGAAAATGTGATTTCTTACACTTGTATTCAATGATGGATAAAAGTTAGAAGACACACTTTTGTAATTTATGGTCCTCGTTCGGACGACCTCTTCACGAAACAAATAACTATTCTGGAAAACTTCGTCAACAACCATCACGATTGTACCATAGACCCCTTTTGCACTTTATTTGTAACTCTATGAATGCTATAACTATTGTTACAATTACGTTGTTTCACTTGGAATGTGTAGCGCTTCTTTACAGCTTTCTGCTTTGTTGTTTGGGTTGGGGGGTCTGGCAGCCAGACTCGGGGAGGTGACAGCCAGAGCAGCCAAGGGGGCTCCCACAGCTTGGGGGCGGGGGAAACGCTCAGACTTGCTCAAGCACGGGCAGCCCACCTACCGGTGAAAAGCATCCGAGGACAGGTCCTGCCCGCCATGGGACAACAAGTGGTCATTTTCCAGCAAGCTCTTCCACTGGCCCAGGATGTCTGTGCCGTACATGCAGTCCTGGAGAGGAAAGAGGCCCACGAGGGCACAGAGAGTAAAGGAGGAGGGAGCGGGAGGGAGGCCCACTCCCCAACACTCAGACCAACTGTGTATTTTTACTGCCCTGCTGCGCTTATTTTAAAGCTTCCTTTAACACTTTCCATGTGGGGACAGGGCCTTGGGTGCCTCTCAGACAGAAAAACACTCCGTGCATTCCCCACATCTGGGGTCGGGAGGCAGAATTCCCCCCCCGCCCGGGGGGGGGGGGGGGGGGTCTGTGCCGCTGCCACCCTCCCGCCAGCCTCTTTTTGACTCCGCCCCACCCGACTCTTCTCCCAACCCACCACCTGTTTTCCCAGGAGGCCGAGCCTGCCAGCCACCCACCTTCAGGGGGTCCCAGCTCTTGAAGTAGTCTTTCACCAGCGGGAAGACGATGGCTGCCGCCAGATCCACGCGGTCGGACATCCGGTACTCCTCGTAATACTTATCCTGGAGAGTCTCGAAGACCTTGGCGCACTCGGCGAGGGTCAGGGGGTTGTCGCAGCCGGGCTGCATCCGCCTCTCGCACTCCTCCACCATCTCCAGGACCTTGCTGAGGTTGCGGACCTCCACCTCCTCGTGGGCGAGGACCTCGTCCATCTTCTCGATCTCGTGGGTCAGGTTGACCACCATGTCCCGCTCATACTGCAGCTGCCGGTCGTTCTGGATGATCTCCTGCTCCGTGAGGTCGATCAGGAGCTGCAGGTTGTGCTCCAGCTCGGGCAGGGCGAAGGCCTGGGGCTTGGCGTCCTTGCCCAGGGGCAGGGGCTGCTGGGGGGTGTCGTCCGGGATGTTGTGCTTCTGGCTGATCTGGCTGTAGCTGTAATAGACCTTCTGCTCCCGGCCGGTCATGTCGATCACCTGCCAAGACAAAGCCAAGGGTCAGTCGCTCAAGGCGTGCGGATCCCAGGTGCAAAACGGGCCGGTTAAAGGTGTCACTGGCAGGATTCAAACTGGATTATCAACTGCTACAAAAGTTCTGTTTGTTCTGCTGAGACAAAATCTGACAGCGGACCAGAAGTTTGTTTTGTGTGTGTGCTGCAAGAGAGAAGGCTGCGTGGAGGCTGGTGAGACTTTATCTCTCCTCTCTCGACTGAAATTGCTTTGCCTCCCAGCCACTGCACCCGCCCAGAGGCAAGCACTGCCGCAGCTTCTCTTCTTTCAGTCCCGGGACCCCGCACTGAGGGCTCTCTTCCACCCGTAGGCCTCTTGCACGACGTATCTGGCCACAGGGAAGTTTCACGGTCCCACACAAGAAAACCAACCCCTTTTCTCCCAGGACACAGAGCCGTCTCTGGTCGGGCACAGCAGAGGAACGAGAACTGAGCGGCCCGTGCTAGCCCGCCCCCCCCCCCGACTCCAGGAGGAAGGACTCTGGGAATACGCCTGAAGAGCCCTGTCCTGGCCTCACCTTGACTTGTGCCAGCTCCTTCTGAGGGGCCGAGAGCTGCTTACCCGCCCGGCCCTTGGCCTTTAGCTCCTCCACTGTCTTGTAGGCATACTTTGGTTTTTTCTTGCCCCCGCTTGGGTCCTTCCGCCACTGGCTGAGGTCCTTCTGGAACTCCTAGGAGGGAAGCAAAGCCCAAGATGGAGGCAGGTCTTCCACAGACAGGCTGCAATTTGCTGGGAGCTGGAGTACGGCCCATTCCGTTCCACGGAGCTCATTGCGGACTGCTTTCCAAGAGGGCTGTTTTGTTATTTTTGTAGAGTTCAGTGAGAGTGATGCGGTACGGTCCTCCAAAGCAGCAGGTGCCAGAGGATGCTGCTGGAAAAGCTGATTTCGTCAGATCCAGTTGATTGCTAATCACTCAGCCCCCACCTCAACAGATCAAAAGCATCTAGTCCATAAAGTCAGGAATGGGCCAGGCCGCAGCAGAAGTATCTCACTGGCGATCGACAGCACCAGTCCCAGGTGGTGGTGCCCACGGGGCGCCCGAGGGCTGTGGGTGAGACCCTCCTGGCTCCAGTCACGCACCAGACAGAACGGGCTCTTACAGACCATTCCTCTGATGTCTAGCCGCCATTCCCGGTGGGTACGGACAACTCATCCCTAATTAACCCCCACTGCAAGAATGTGCTCTTCTTGGTGGCAGTTCGTTTTTCCTTTATGAGGAGGAGGAGGAGATTGGATTTATACCCACTACCCAGAGGAGTCTTAGAGCGGCTTACAAACTCCTTTCCCCTCTCCTCCCCACAACAGACACCCTGTGAGGCAGGTGGGGCTTAGAGAGCTCTTGACAGAAACGGCTCTTTTTCAAGGACAACTCTGACAGAACTACGGCTTGCCCAAGGTCATCCAGCAGGTGCAAGTGGAGAATCAAACCTGGTTCTCCCAGATTAGAGTCCGGGCACTTAACCACGACACCACACTGGTAACTTCCTTGCCATTTTTCACAAGATCTCTTAATTTCTTCTTACTATGGACCGCATTACTGTGTGTTCCGGGCAGGGTATCGGAAAGTAAAAGGCAACAGTCTCACTCCTGCTGGACTCCCACCTTCCCTGCTACAACTGGGTTAGTGTCCAGCTCACGGGTTCGGATTCTGGGGATGTCTCTGACTGCCTTTGCAAAGGCACCCAAACACACCCGCCTCTCTGACACGCGGCCTGAGAGGAAGTCTCTGATGCAGCCGCTGAGAACCACTTTCACGAATGGCAACTTGAAAGGGAAAGTAGCCACGAACTGCCCCAACCGAATACAGGCGAAAGCGGGGGCGGGGAGAGACGCCCTACCTCTTCCGCTTCTTCCTCCGAGTCCACCGCAGGGAAGTCTTGCAAGGACTGGGACGTCCGCTCCGAGCCGTAGGCCCCCACGGCCCCTTTGCCTTTCCTCTGCTTGGCCTCAATAGGGGCGATGATACCTGGGGAAGGGCAGAGCCGTCAACTGAGGAATGTTCTATGCAAACACTGGGGTGACATAAGCTGCCTGGAGAAAGGGGGAAGAAAGCCCCACAGCAGCACCGATGAAGTACCCCTCTCCAGTCTCCAAAGGCCCCAGACGGGGTGGAGGAGCTCCAGTGCAGGGTCCCACTCCCTCCAAAAAGAGCGGCATCTCCCCGAGCTGACCAAGCAGCTAAGCCCAGGAAGACTCGGGAAGTGACGCTTCCTGCTTGCTCACCCACAGACAAATGCTGTTCATCCCGGGTGAATCACAGACGGTCTCTCAGGACAGATGCAGCTTCTCCCCAAGAAAGTGAGAACCTTTACAAATGCCAGCTCTGTGACTTGGTGCCCATCTGAAAGGCTGTGCAATGCTGCCTGAAGGCACAGACCAGCTTTCTCTGCTCCATCGGTCCTCTCCAGAAAACCCACACAGCCAGGAAGGGAGATTTCTGCCATACCTTGAGCATTCTTGCCGAGACCTCTGCCAGGCACGTAGCCCATCTTCTGAAGAAGCTTCTGCCCAATCCCCTTGGTGTGCCTCTCCCAGCTGCCAAAGTCCATGAAGGACTTGGTTCCCCCTACAAAACTTTTCTGGCTGGGCTTGAAATTGCCACCCTGTTAAAAATAAAAATGGCAAAGAAGAGCCAGTGTTAGCAAGGCTAAACTGATGCATTTTAGAACAACCTGACCCCTTCTTCACACGCACACCTAGACTAACAGATGGACCAGAAAAGAGATCCTTGGGGTGCAATTTCAAGAAAATGGTGACTCAGTGTGTGCCAGCAATGAAAATTAAGCAAGACTTACAGGACTGAAATGAGACGGCCAGTACTATAACACCCTTGTATAAGTTTATGGTTTGGTACCATGTGGAATAAGATGCATACTGCATTCATACAAAGCGTCCCAAGAGAGCTTAGAAGTGACGGGAGAAGAGGACGGTCCTCATACAAGTTTAAAAACTGGTTAAATGACAGGGAAGCAGAGAATAGGAATAAGTGGACAGTTCTCACAATGAAGGGGAAGTAAGCAGTGGGGTCCCACAAAGATCAGCATTAGGACAAGTGTTCTTTAATTTGTTTATAAATGATTTGGATCTGGGGGTGAGCAGGGTAGTGCCCACATTTGTGGGTGACTTAAAAGAGAGTCCCTCTGAATGTCAGTCGTCCGGGACCGGGGGAGACAACATGGTTCCTCTTTCAGCCTCTGCTGTGGCCTCTCCAGCAGCCTCTCGCTATCTACTGGGGGGAGACGGGAGGACCAGACGAAGCCCTGACCTGACACAGCAGGGCTGCTTTGTTTTGCCAGTTATCATTAGTGCTCTGCAATGTCCTTAAGCAGGTTCCAGGGACCCTGAGAACGTACAAATAATGTGTGGTGAGAGTGACTCACTGTTTTTAACTTCTTTGGCACAAACTCTTTGGGGGCTTCCTCTGGCTTCGGAGGCTTCTCATCCTCGTCAGAATCCTCATCGACCACCTCATCCGCTGCCGTTTTCTTCAGCCCAGCACTGATGAAGTTCACGGGGGCTGAATAATCTTTAGACCTAGAGCCATTTTAAAAAAGACATCCTTCAGAAGCAGCCGACCGGTGAAATCTGCTTCCTGAACTAAACCTGGCCGGCAGGTGTCCAGGCCAGCTGCTGCATCAGCATTCCAAGTTCAGAGAGCATAAGAACAGCCTGCTGGATCAGACCAAAGGTCCATCAGGTCCAGCATTCTGTCTCAACCAGCTACCTCTAGGTGACACATAAAAAGCACAACTGCAACAGCCTCATCCTGCCCGTGCTCCCCAGCAACTGATACAAAGAGGCAGACCACCTCTGGTACCGGAGGGAGTAGATGTCCATCAGGACTAGCAGCCACTGATAACCCCGTCCTCTGTGAATTTGTCCACTCCCTTTTTAAAGCCTTCCAGATTGGCAGCCTTGACCACATCCTGTGGCAGCGAGTTCCACAAGTTAACCATAAATCAACAAACTCTTTGGGGTTTGGGGTCAACTCTCTCCACACCTTCTGTCTGTCCTGAATCTCCCACCCTTCAGCTTCAGTGAATGACTTCGAGGGGTTCTAGTCAACTCTCTCCACACCAGGCACATCTTCCTAGACCTCAAGCATGTCTCCCACCCGCAGCTGGCTTCTGCTAACCCGTGCGTGGGGTTTACAAGGCAAGGGAGGTTCCGAGGTGCTTTCCACTGCCTGCCTCCGTGTGGCAACCCCAGATTTCCTTGGGGGTCTGTCCCCCTCCCCCTCCTAAGTACTAACCGGGCCCAACCCCACTTGACTTCCAAGCTCGGAGGGGCAGCTGCTAGATCTAATGGGTGGAAAATGACAAGTGAGCCGATACCGGCTAAATATCAGGAGAAACTTCCTAACTGGAAGGGTGGTTGACCAGTGGGACAGACTGCCTCGGGAGGTGGTGGAGGCTCCTTCGCTGGACGTTTTCAAGTGGAGGCTGGACGACCATCTTTTGGCTAATATTGTAGGGCCCTCTTTCGGCTATGCGCCTGCAGAGTGCAGGGGGTTGGTCTAGATTACCTGCAAGATCCCTTCCAACACTTTCTATGATTCTAACAGTGGTTGAGTGGTGGAACAGACTGCCTTGGGAGGTGGTGGGTGCTCCTTCGCTGGACATTTCCAAATGGAGGCTGGAGGACCATTCAGCTAATGTTGTAGGGCTATCTTTTGGCTGTGCATCTGCAGAGTGCAGGGGGCTGGACTAGATGACCTGCAAGGTACCTTTCAGCTCTAACATTCTGTGATTCTAAGAGAGGTTGAGTGGTGGAACAGACTGCCTCGGGAGGTGGTGGGTGCTCCTTCGCTGGACGTTTCCAAATGGAGGCTAGAGGACCATTCAGCTAATGTTGTAGGGCTATCCTTCAGCTATGCTCCTGCAGAGTGCAGGGGGCTGGACTAGATGACCTGCAAGATCCTTTCCAGCTCTAACATTCTGTGATTCTAAGAGTGGCTGAGCGGTGGAACAGTCTGCCTCGGGAGGTGGTGGATGCTCCTTCGCTGGATGTTTCCAAGCGGAGGCTGGAGGACCATCTTTCAGCTAATGCAGGGCTCTCTTTCGGCCATGCTCGTGCAGCGTGCAGGGGGCTGGACTAGATGACCTCCGCGGTCCCTTCCAGCTCTTAACCTTCTGTGATTCTAAGAGTGGCTCCCTCGTGCAGGCGGAGGGTCTGGGTCCCGCTCCCTCGGACGGGGTCCCGGTTTTGCTTTCCGCATCCCCCCGCCCGCCGGCCGGCCCGGCCCCCGCACCGTTTCCCGCCGAAGCTGGGCCGCTCGTCGTCGGAGTCCCGCTCGGCCCAGACGCCGTAGACGGCCTCCTCCTTGGTCTGCCAGTGGCGCTGCCGGTTGGGGTTGAACTCGTTCTCCAGGTCCCAGTCCGTGATCTCGAAGCGCTCCATCTCCACGTCGTCGTCGTCCGCGCCCGCTGCAGCAGCCGACGCCGCGTCGCCGCCGTACAGGTGGGAGAGCGACATGGCGCCGGGGGGGTGGGAGGGAGGAGAGGTAATTGTGGAAATCTGCATGAGACTGCTCTGCAAAACTGCAAGAACCTTCTTATAATGAACTCTCTCTTTGTGTGTGTATGTGTGTGTCTGTGGCCGGGAGGGAGGGGGGAGGGAGGGGGAGGTCATTCCGGCTCCGCCCCGCCCCCTCCCCCCCAAAGGCCGGGCGAGACGCTGGGGCCGGCCTACCTGGCAGGAGGGCTGTGGGGAGGGGCTCACTGGTGGTTGCCTAAGCACTGCCCCCCCCCCTTCTGCGCACCACTCAACTGAACAGGCTTCATTTTTGACGTTTACATGGGGCTGGAATTAAAAAGGGGCAGAGAGGGTCATTGAGATGACTGTCGTGACAACTGCATTTGGCTCCATCCTTTTACTTTTGAACACATCCTCTGACACACGGCACCTCCTCCCCAACAAAAAAATAGAAGATAGCCCTAAGGTGCACCAGGATCCATTTGCACTAGTTTTATCAATCTTTTTTTTTTTTACAAATCTTCATTCTTTTTTTCCCTTTTCACCCTTTTTCCAACTTTGTGGTGCCCCCTTTGGCCCTGGTGCCCTAAGCACTGTGCTTAGTCTGCTTCATGGTTAATCCGTCCCTGCCTGGGGAGGGGGTGCAACTGGTGGGAGGGCGCTGGTGGGAGGGCGCTGGTGGGGGGGGACGGGCAGGCCAGACTGAGGCCAGACTGGAAGAGGGAAAACCCCAACCCCCCCCCCCCCATCCCTCCCCTGGCTGCTGTGTCCCAGGGCTCTCTGGTTCCCTTGTGGCCAGTGCTCCCTCTCAGCTGTGGAGCCTTGTGAGCAAAAATTCTGCTTTGTGAGCTACCGGCCTTAAAGTTGTGAGCGAGCGATCTGGCTGCTGCATAAATCAGTTTGCTCGGGAGCCCTCCTTCCTGAGCTAATACAAGAATGTGTCAGCCGGAGGCTAAAAAACTGTGAGCTAGCTCTCGCTAACTCAGCTTAGAGGGAGCACTGCTTGTGGCCGGCCTGCAAAGGGGGCTGGTCCGAGGCAGGTGCCTCCCTTTCTCTTGAGTGGGTCTGCTCCCACTGCTGGCCAGCCGGCTTTGACCTCCAGCGTGGACAGGACACACAGCCGCCTGAAAGAGTGGCCCAGGCGCCCCCCAGCTTGAAAATGTGGGGCAGAAAGGGCACCCTCAAAAGCCTGGCCAGTTGCCCCCCCCTCACGGGCTGGCTCCAGAGGGGGATCTTTCCTTGCCCTTCAGAGGACCCCCCGCCAAAAGGCCCGCTCCTTCCGAGCCCCACTTGTGGGCCTGCTGGGGCTGGCCCCGTCAGGCCAGAGCAAAGCCAACCCCCCCTTTGTTTGTCCGACTTGGGTGGGGGGTGGCAGGGGAGCTGCCAGAAGAGTCCCCGTGCGAGAACCCTGCCAGGAGCCGATTCACGGAGAGCCGGGCTGCCTGAGAACAGAGGCACTGCTTGCCGGTTGCGGGGAAGGCCCAGAACGATTTGGTGTGGGTTGGGGTGCAAGACTATGAAGCTCAGATCGGGATCTTCAGCTCAGCTTGCTGGGCCAATTTTGGACAGTCACAGGCTTGCCGCCTTACCTACCCCCAAATGGAGAAGAACGATGAAAGCTGCTCTGGATCCTCCCCTTCCCAGGCCTGGTAGAAAGGTGGGGTATGAAGCAGTGTTCCCTCTAAGCTCAGGAAGGATGGCTCCAGAGCAAACTAGTTTATGCAGTAGCCAAATCGCTTGCTTGCAACAGAAGAGGGCAACCAGGATGGTGAGAGGGTTGGAATCCAAGTCTTATGAGGAAAGGCTGAAAGAGTCGGGTCTGTTTAGCCTGGGAAAGAGAAGGCCTAGAGGGGACACGATTGCAGTCTTCAAGTATCTGAAGGGCTGTCATGTAGAAGAGGGAGCGGATCTATTTTCTCTTGCTCCAGATTGCAAGACTAGATCTAATGGGTGGAAATTACAAGGGAGTTGTTACCGGCTAAATATCAGGAGAAACCTCCTGACTGGAAGAGTGGTTGAGCAGTGGGACGGACTGCCTCGGGAGGTGATGGAGGCTCCTTTGCTGGACGTTTTCAAACGGGGGCTGGATGACCCTCTTTCGGGTATGTTGCAGGGCTATCTTTCGGCCGTGCTCCTGCAGAGTGCAGGGGGTTGGACTAGATGACCTGCAAGGTCCATTCCAGGTCTAACATTCTATGATTCTAACTTTAGTGCCAGGAGCTCACAAAGTAGAATTTTGGCACACAAGACTCCAGGGCTTGGAGCATTGGTATGAAGTAAATGGATCATTCTGCACCAACACGATGAGCAGGGAGGGGCAGCGTGCCGTGCATGGATGCCAGCTATGGGTGCTGCAGGCTTATTGTCTTAAATATTGGATTTACAGCCCTCCCTTCCCTGTACAGCAGGGTTCAGAGTGGGTAACAATAGCAATCGTAAAACAATGTCTATAAAATTAAACTATTAAAATAATACTTGCAATAATACTCACAACTAAAAGATGGCACATGAAAACAGGAAGCCCACCCTGGTGCTCCTTATGGGGGGGGGGATAAATATCCTACAATGAATCAGAAGAGGGGGAAAGACACAGAACAGGAGGGGGGAGGGAAAGGAAGGATGCCAGTCCAGAATGAAACCGTCCCTCCCTCGACCCTAAACTGACGGAGCATTTCTGCCTTGCAGGTCCTGTGGAACCGCGTCAAATCCCGCAGGGCCTGCGGATCTCACTCCGCTGAGCGTTCCGCCAGATCGGGGCCAGGGCTGAGCAAGTCCCTGGTTCTGGTCAAGGACAGCTGGATACCTTTCTGGCCAGGGATCACCAGTAGGCTGCTACCCATTGAGTGTTGAGCTCTTTGGGGGTTTTACCAGGAGAGGCGGTACCAAAGGTATTTAGGGCTTTAAAGGTTAGTACCAAAACCTTGAACCTGATCCAGTATTCAATCTAGAGCCAGTGCAGCTGGCGGAGCGCCCATTGAATGGTGGGCTCTGAAAGAGGTTCCTGTGAGACTAGGCTCCATGGCATTCTGGACCAGTTGCAGTTTCCAGGTCAGTCTCAAGGGTAGCCCTGCATAGAGCGAGTTGCAGTAGTCTAATCAGGAGGTGACCATTAGCTGAAGCAAGACAGGAAGGGGGCCAATTACCTAACCTGGTGCAGATGGAAAAAACAGCAGTCTGGCCAGTTTGGTGTAGTGGTTAGGAGCACAGACTCTAATCTGGGAGAACCAGGTTTGATTTCCCCACTCCTCCACATGCAGCTGCTGGTGTGACCTTGGGTGAGTCACAAGTTATTTCAGAGATTTCTCTCAAAGGCAGTTCTCTCTCAGCCCCACCTACCTCACAGGGTGTCTGTTGTGGGGAGCGGAAGGGAAAGGAGATTGGTGTTTGTGGGGCAACAGTGGGAGGGCTCCTAGTGTCCTGGCCCCACTGCTGGACCTCCTGATGGCATCTGGTATTTTTGGCCACTGTGTGACAGAGTGTTGGACTGAATGGGCCATTGGCCTGATCCAACATTGGCTTCTCTTGACTCTAATCTGGAGAACCGGGTTTGATTCTCCCACAGCTGCTGGATGCCCTTGGGCAAGCCATAGTTCTCTCAAGGACAGTTCTGGAAAGAGCTCTCTCAGCCCCACCTACCTCACAGGGTGTCTGTTGTGGGAAGGGGAAGGGAAAGGAGATTGTAAGACACTCTGAGACTCTGAGTGAAGGGCAGGGTATCTCTTCTCTTCTTCTTCTCTTATGTAAGCCACTCTGAGACTTCTTTGGGTAGTGAAGGGCGGGGTATAAATCCAATCCCCCACCACCACCACACGCAGAGTTGGCACTGGTTTTAAGGGCACGTACTCAAGAGCCGGGAGTGGACACCCCAACCCCAAATCTCCCTGGCCCAGCCACAGAACCTCTGCCTTAGATGGATGCTCTGTTTCAACCAACCAACCACAGCCTCCAAACCCTAGGCCAAGATATCTGGGGCAGTATTCGGCTAGCCGCACCTCAACAGATACAGCTGGGTGTCATCTGCATACTGGAGACACCCAGCCAGAAACTCCATACAGCTGGATGAGGATGCACATGTACATGTGGAGTTGTTTTCTGTTGCCCCAGAAGGTCAGACCTGAACCAACGGGTTGGAATTAAATCAGAAGAGTTTTCGGCTACACATTAGGAAGAACTTCCAGACAGAGCGGTCCCTCTGTGGAACAGGCTTCCTCGGGAGGTGGTGGGCTCTCCTTCTTTGGAGGTTTTCAAACAGAGGCTAGACAGCCATCTGACAGCAATGCTTATTGTATGAACTTAGGCAGATCATGAGAGGGAGGGCAGGAAGGGCTGCATCAGTGCTTAGTTCTTGTGGCCCTTTCTTACATGCCCAGGGAAATGCTGATTGCCACTTTGGGGTCAGGAAGCAATCCTGGAGGTTTGTTGTCATCTTCTGGGCGTGGAACAGCAGTCACTGTGGGTGTGGAGAGTAGGGCTACCAAGTACTTACCGCAAATCGACGGGGGACTTATAGTTCTTGCCGGGAACATTCCCCCGGGGAAAACACAGGCGCTGCACTATCCTGTCACCCAGACATGACGTGGGCATGTAGCCAGGCGATGCTCTGGCAATGGGGCTGAAAACTCGATGGTACCATCGAGTTTCCAGCCCCATTGCCAGAGTGTCGCCCAGCTACATGCCCAGCGTGCTTACGTCACGTCTGGGCGACAGGATAGTGCGATGCGGCCATGTTACATGCAAGAATGTTCCGGCGGGGAAGCATGTGTCCCCCGCCGATTCGTAGGTAGGTACTTGGTAACCCTAGTGGAGAGAGAGGTATTTGTGAATTTCCTGCATTGCGCAGGGAGTTGGGACTAGATGACCCTGGAGGTCCCTTCCAACTCTATGATTCTCTGTAGAATATGCAGAGAACATTTTCACAGTAGAGAGCATTTTCCCCACCCCTGTGAGGATATAGCTATAGTTACACCTGCCAAAGGGATTGGGGGTGGGGTGTATCGAAA